AGGGAGGTGTGGACACCATGGAGCCGGTACCGGGGGAAATATCCAAAGTCCTTAAAGAATACAAAGATGTCATGCCATCCAAGTTGCCAAAATGCCTACCACCTAGGAGGGATGTGGACCATAAGATCGAGCTAGAGCCGAGAGCCAAACCACCCGCCAAAGCTCCATACCGGATGTCGCCACTAGAATTAGATGAGTTGCGAAGACAACTCAAAGAACTCTTAGAGGCCGGATTCATCAAGCCTTCGAAAGCACCATACGGAGCTCCGGTCCACTATCGGGCACTTAACAAGGTAACCATAAAAAACAAATATCCCATTCCACTAATTGCCGATTTGTTTGATCAACTTGGACAGGCCAAGTACTTTTCTAAGCTTGACTTGAGATCGGGATATTATCAAGTGCGGATTGCGAAAGGGGATGAGCCGAAGACCGCATGTGTGACGCGTTACGGAGCCTTTGAGTTCAAAGTCATGCCATTCGGCCTCACCAATGCCCCTGCCACATTTTGCACCCTCATGAACCACATTTTCCATCCATATCTTGATCGGTTCGTGGTGGTTTATCTCGACGACATTGTGGTGTATAGCAACACTCTTGAAGAGCATGCCGAGCACCTACGGACAGTTTTCCGAGTGTTGCAAGAAAATAAGTTGTATGTCAAACGGGAGAAGTGTTCATTTGCCAAGCCGGAGGTAGAGTTTCTCGGCCACAAGATTACGGATGGGAAGCTCATCATGGACAAAGCCAAGGTGAAGGCTATTGCGGAGTGGGAAGCTCCAACAAAGGTTACTGAGTTGCGCTCTTTCTTAGGCCTGGTCAACTATTACCGGAGATTTATCAAAGGCTATTCTACCATTGCCGCACCACTCACAGATTTGCTTAAGAAGGCTATAAAATGGGAGTGGACGGTTGATCGCCAACAAGCCTTTGACACTTTGAAAAGGGCCATCATGGAAGAGCCGGTGTTAGCATTGCCCGACCATGCTCGACCATTTGAGGTACATACTGACGCATTCGATTTTGCTATTGGAGGTGTTTTAATGCAGGAGGAACATCCGATAGCCTTCGAAAGCCGGAAGCTCAATGATACAGAGCGGCGATACACGGTACAAGAGAAAGAGATGACAGCCGTGGTGCATTGTCTACGCACTTGGCGGCATTATTTACTGGGGTCCAAGTTCTTGGTGAAGACGGACAATGTTGCAACCAGTTATTTCCAAAGTCAGAAGAAACTTAGCCCCAAACAAGCTAGATGGCAAGATTTCCTGGCCGAGTTCGACTATGTGTTGGAATACAAGCCCGGGAAAGCCAACTTGGTAGCAGATGCATTAAGTCGGAAGGCCGAGTTTGCAGCCATAAGCAAGATACAAGAGGATCTTCTTCAGCTTATAAAGGAGGGTCTCGAGCATGACGCATTGGCCAAGCAACTCATTTCTTAACTCAAGACGGCAAGACCAAGCACTTTTGGGTAGAAGATGGCCTTCTGTACACCAAAGGGAGAAGGGTGTATGTTCTGAAGTGGGGAAATTTGCGGAGGAACTTAATCAAGGAGTGTCATGACACCAAATGGGCCGGACATCCCGGACAAAGGCGCACTCGAGCACTGTTAGAAGCAGCTTATTATTGGCCACAAATGCAAGATGATGTGGAGCAGTTTGTACGAACTTGTCTTATGTGCCAACAAGACAAAATGGAACACCAAAGCTCCGCAGGATTACTAGAACCGTTGCCCACACCGAGTAGACCATGGGAGAGCATCTCAATGGATTTCATAGTGTGCTTGCCGAAATCCGAGGGGTTTACTACCATTATTGTTGTGGTGGACAGGTTATCGAAGTATGCTACTTTCATCCCCGCACCGAAGGAATGTACAGCGGAAGACACGGCCAAGCTCTTTTTCAAGCATGTGGTGAAGTATTGGGGTCTTCCGAAGTCTATTATCAGCTATCAGGATAGTCGGTTCACCGGGAGATTTTGGACCGAGTTGTTTAAACTGATGGGGTCGACATTGCACTTTTCTACAAGCTTTCACCCTCAAACCGATGGGCAGACCGAGAGAGTGAATGCTTTGCTAGAGATTTATCTACGACACTTTGTATGCACCAACCAACTTGATTGGACGAAGTTGATTGATGTAGCCCAATTTTCATACAACTTACAGAGAAGTGAAGCCACCAACAAAAGCCCGTTCGAAATAGTAATGGGTCAACAGCCACTCATGCCGCACACTTTGGGTACAAATTATAAGGGGAGCAGCCCCGCGGCATTCAAAGTTGCTAAGTCATGGCATGAGCAAGCCGACATCACACGGGTGTATCTCGACAAAGCAACTAAGAAAATGAAGAAATGGGCGGACAAGAAACGGAGGCATGTAGAGTACAATGTGGGAGATTTAGTACTTGTCAAAATCCTCCCTTCACAACACAAGTCCACCCGATCATTGCACAAGGCCCTTGTCCGAAGATACGAGGGGCCATTTCCCATAATCAAGAGGGTCGATAATGTGTCTTACAAGCTTGAGCTACCTTCTTGGTTGAGACTTCATCCGGTCTTCCATGTGAGTTGTTTGAAGCCGTACCATGAAGATACGGAAGATCCGGGAAGAAGAGAACGAAAGCGAGTACCGTTTGGCAATACCAAGTTCTATGACAAGGAGGTGGAATGTGTGTTAGCCGATCGCGTCGAGCGACAAAAGGGCCATCCTCTAAGTCGGGAATACTTCGTCAAATGGAATTGGCTACCAAAGAGTGAAGCTAGTTGGGAACCCGAGAGTGCATTGTGGCAATTCAAAGACAAGGTCCGAGAATTCCACGAAGAGTCGACGAGGACGTCTCCGGATTAGGTGGGGGAGAATGTGACGCCTCTCAAGCATTTCATCGAACACTTGGTGTGCATCACCCGGACATTCTAGAAGCTTCCGGAATACTCTTGTATATGCTAGAATATTGTAATTAATGTGGTAGTTGGTAGATAGTAGTTGGTAGGTGGTAGTTTGGAGTTAACTAATCTCCACCGTTGATCTCGGAAGATCTAAACCGTTCATTGTATATTCCAACTACTATAAAAGGGGGAGGCCTTCATTTGGCCAAATCATCCAAGAATTGTAAAGTTCTCTCAATTAGTAAAGAGTTCTCTTCTAGCATCTCTTGTGAGTTTGTGTGAGTGTTTTCTTACTTGCACGGCTAGGAGCGTGAGCAAGCAAGGCTGACTTAGGGCAATCGTCGGGAGATTAGCACCTAAGGCCGAACGAGTCCGAAGGGAAGCAATCGGGTTGTTACACTAGGCACTCCCGAAAGAGTTGTGTATATGTAGGACTAAAACTAATACTACACAAAAAGACCCGAGTACTAGGCTAGAGCCAGAATTGTCAATTCCATTAGGTCAAGTGCAGGACAAAGGCAAAGGCTATGGACCTTTGAAGGAAACATAATAGAACCTAATAGGAGTCTTAGTCAATAGTTCCATTAGGACGAATGCATGAAGGGTCAAATAACATGAAATTGACTTAGTAGAAGAACTATAACCTATGATTCCATGAAGATGAGTGTTAGGCCAATTAGGAACCATGAACACTTGAGGTTAAGGAACAGGACTCGGGAGGAATGAAAATCACTTGTTAAAAATTAGTTACCCCACTTGATATAATGTAGGGAGGATGGACTTTTAAAAATAGGGACGATAGCAAAGGTCTGTTCTCTAAATAACTAGTTTAAGGTAGTGCTTTGGACTGGGGGTAAATACAGTTGGATTGAATTGAGTATCATAAGGTTTTCGCTAGTGGTACTGGTACCCCCACTAGCACCCTTTGTTTTTGATTTTGTTATTGTCTTATAGGTCCAAGTCTACAATATACCTACAATATACGTGTGAACCAAGACCAAGTCTGCGAAATCTAGGGAGGGGGAGAGACGACTTTCCTAGTTGACCAAAACCGAGTGTCAATATTTGTTATTTTTAGAATTAAACAATGTAAATTAATATTACATAAAACACCTTAGACAAGCCAATTCTAGAACCTAAAAAAGACGTAAAATTAAGCCAATGAAAGAAGACATGTATGCATAAGAAAGCCTTGCTCAATATTAATAATTAAAATAAAAGAAATGATAAAAGAAAACTATAATATGCAACAACTCATACATCTGTAGTTAAGCCAATGAAAGAAGATATGTATACAGAAACGGCCATATCAGGGCCTCTCGGTCATAGTGGGCTACTCACAGCGACTCCAAGTGACTTTCAGAGACTTCCCATGGTGGCTGACGGTGGTTTGGCTGGCAGCAGCTGATAGCAGGTTGGGGGGGGGGGGGGGGGGGGCTTGGGTAAACTAAAATTTATTTTGATTTCAAGGGTAATTTTGTCTAAAAAGTTAATTAATGGGGGTGAAATGGTAAAAGCAAGATTCATGTAAATAAATTTAAAAATAAGGGTATTATTGTCATAAAATTTTATTAATGAAGGATAGAATTATAATAATAATAAAAAAAAAGATTACCCAAATAATCTTACAATACCTAAGAAAATAGATGTAATCAGATTACCTCCAATATTATCAATAGTAATCACTATTGGTATTTGAAGATTACCAGAATCTTATATTACTTGATAACTAAACATGGTAATCAAGTAATATAAGATGACATAACTCCAGTAATCTCATATAACCTCCAACCAAACGCCCTCTCTGTTGTATCCATAATTATAGGGGGTGAACATAAATAATAGGTCGAACCAGAATCGATAGATATTTGGACCGCTGGTTTCGGGTAGGAATTGGTACTGTATCATTCCAGTACTAGTTCCACCCATTGAAGGAATCGAAACCGACTTGAGAACCGTACAGTACAAACTAAGCAAGCAATTTGGACATGCCCAACCCAAAGCACACCAAACAAAAGCCCAAGGATCCTAGGCGAACAACAAAAAAGATTTTCAAAAGGCCCAAACAAAAAGCTAAGCCCTTACACAAAACATAAACAAAACTTTACCGGTGGTTTTTCAATTAAGCAATTAGGTTTTCTTTTCTGCATTTCTGGGAAAAATCAATTTTTTTTCAGTTTTCAATTTCGTGGTGACCTTCACTCCATCACTCCATCATCTTCATTTCGGTGTCTGAACGAAAAAAACTCAAAAAAAGAGACAACCGAGATTTCGATTAAACATTGAGTACGATAGTTCGTGTTCTCCTTCAGTCCCTCTGGTACTCCGTTTGCTTACTGATTTGAGTGGTTTGTGTTGCGTCATTGAAGTCAATCTCCATTTGCACTTTGCACATTTCCATTCACCAGAAGCCGAAGCCCGAAGGTATGACCTCTTCTAATTGTTTTCCGGCTTTCTATGAATGTTTATTGTTCACTTGCTTTAAAACCAGAGTTTAAAAGTGTTTGGACTGAATGAATTTCTGCTTAGGTGTGTGCAGCTTGGATTTTTTACGAAAGAGACAACGGAGAGGCTACATCTGCAGTTATAGTTCACTTGATTCTACACCTGTAGTTTATAAGGTAATTTTTTAGATTTTGGTGTCTGTCTGTTGAATCTACATCTGGGTGAATGTCAAGGCTTTCTCTAGGCAAGAGTTATTTTGGGTGCCTTCTAATGATATAAGCATATATTAAAAAAATTATTTCAAATTTATTTTTCTTGCCTTTTGAGATGCAAAATCACTATTAACTTTTTGTATTCAAGTTTAGAAACCAAATCTTTTTCAATTGATAATTTAGCCAAATTATCAAATGTTTCTTGTGACATGGTTGAAGGTAGATAATGAATTGTTAAAAAGCTTATAGAATTTTCATCTTTGGAAAAATCTTAAACTTGTCTAATTGTATCTTTCTCAACTAATAAATCACATAAGCTAGTGTCTAAATTATTCCATTATGCTGAATCATAAATATTTTTAATAGTTGTTTCATCTTTATCATCAATATTTTCGTTATTGTCGATTGAAATATCTTCTAAATTTTCATGATATTCTTCACTAGTATTTGATGAATTTGAATTGTTATCTTTAAAAATTTCTTCACAATTTTCAATTGATTTTTCATTTAAATCTTCATTTGGTTTTTCTAGCATTTGGTGTTTCGTATTAATAACAAATCTATCAAGTGTACTTTTTGGGATTGAATTAGTTCTTCTATCCTTTTTTTTCTTACGTTCTTTAAATCCGGACTCATACTTTCTAGTAGACATTTCTAATCAAAGAATAAATAATTTAGAGCCCTTAATATTATTTTGCTGAAATAAAATAATTATAAAAACTGCAAGAAACTTAGCACCTGATTTGTGTTCTTTTGATTTTGTTTTCTGCTGATACTCTAAAATCTTATATTATTACCTTGTATAAAAATACGAATGTATATGACACATTCACTTGACCAAATATCACTTGTTAAACCCAAAAAAATAAAATAAAAAATCAAAGCTTGCACAAACAAACAACAATGTACTAGAAACAAAAAAGAATAAATTTTCGTCTATAAAGATGAGAAAACTGAGAGACGAGATGAGAAATCTGAGAGTAAAATGAGATAAGAAAGCTAAGAGCTAGAATTAAGAAAACTGAATTTTTTGAGTAAATTGAGGGATAGGTGATATAAGGGGTTGTCATTTGGGAGAGAGAGTAGATTGTGATTTGACATTTGAGAGATTGCAACCGACAACGTGTTTCAAAGGAAAAATAGAGCTGATAATTTGTATGTGTTTCAACAGAAAGACTTGAGAGAGATTGGCAGAAGGTTGGATTTGATGGGATATTATATACAGTGGTACTTTTGTAAATATATGTAAAAAGCTTATAACAAATTTGGGCAATTCTGGCCTTTTTTGGGGGCCCCTTGGGCCGGCCTGGATAGGAAATTATACAATAATGATATTTTTGTAAATATATTAAAAAAACTTATAACAAATTTGGGCCCCTTTTGGGTAGGGGTGTTCAAAAGAATCAGATTTCCAATCCGAAAAAATCAGATATTGGAAAATTCGGATCGGACTCGGATATCAATTTTGGAAGATCCGAATTTTTGGATCAAATACCGGATCGGCTCTGCAAAGAAACTGAATATTCGTATCCGATTCGGTTTTGTCCATAACTACAAGTTTTAAGAAGTTATATCAGGATCCTAGGTGAAAAGTGGTAAAGTACGTGGAATGTTTTGAAATACGATGATAACTTCTGGGTCAAAATGTAATGAAATGCTAATGTAGTAGGGGGTATTGAAGAGTAATGCAAAATTTTAGGGGGCAAATTGATATTTTCTATACAAATTCGGATCAAAATTGAATATTAGGTTTATCCAATCCGAATATTTGGATCAGATCAAAACTGGATCAGACGAAATCTAGATCGATTCGAATCAGGTTTCATCTTGATCCGAATTGCCGGATCGGATTAAAAAAATGCAAAATCGGACGTTGTACACCCCTACTTTTTGGCCCTATGTTTTGGGGGCCCTTGACTGAATGTAATTTTGTAGGATACTCGTGACTGGAAACGGAATCGGAACCTGAAATGTACGTTTCGGTTCCAGGAACCAGAATAGATCGGTTTTGATTCTAGTTCCTTATGCTAAGAATTGAAGAACCGATCGGTTTCGGTTCCTAGCAATTCTAACAGGTACCAAGAACCGCTCACCTCAATAGGAGACTGTCTGTCGTAAGGAATATTTCATTAGTTTTAACAGTAAAGAGGGTAACAGTGTAAATGACATTAATTTTTTTTAATTTATTAAAAACCTAAATCCTGATCCTACAAAAGAAAACCCAAACCCAAACCCATCACCGCGACACAGCCAAATCCCGAACGCCCAAACCCATCACTGTGACACAGCCAAATCCCCAACGCCCTTCTCGGCCTCCAAAACCACGTTCACTTGTCAGTTGTAGTTTCACCCACACAAGCCTCCCTAAGTGCTGAACTTCTCCTCCACCTCTCCTGTCTCAACTTTTGCGCCCCACATCTATAGAACCGGTCCACCCACTCGGTCGAAAAGCATAGTTAGGGCCAGCTTAAGTACTAGGCAAGTGAGGCACCTGGCTAGGGCCTCCAAAAAATAGGGCCAAAAGGCGGCCCGAATTTGTAATAAGTTTTTTGAATATATTTAGAAAAATATCATGATTATATAATTTCCTATCTAAGTCGGCCCAAGGGGCCTAAAAAAAGGCCAAAAGAGCCCAAATTTGTTATAAGCTTTTTACATATATTTACAAAAGTACCACTGTTATATAATTTCTAATGAAATCCAACCTTTTGTCTATTTTTGTCATATCTTTTACACATACAAATTGTCGACTCTATTTTTCTATTGAAACACATTACTGGCTGTAATCTCTCAAATGTCAAATCACAATCTCCTCTCTCCCAATTGACAACCCCTTATGTCACATCCCTCAATTTACTCAAAAAATTCAATTTTCTTAATTCTTACTCTTAAGCTTTCTCATCTCATTTTACTCATATTTCTCATCTCGTCTCTCAGCTTCCTTATCTCTATAGATGAAAATTTCTTCATTTTTTGGTTCTGGTAAGCTGTTGCTTGTTTGTGGAAGCTTTAATTTTTTTTTTTTTTATTTTATTTATTTTTTTGGGTTTAGCAAGTGATATTTGGTCAAGCGAATGTGTCATATACATTCTTATTTTTATACAAGATAATAAAATAAGATTTTAGAGTATCACTAGAAAGCAAAATCAAAAGAGCATAAATCAGGTGCTAAAGTTCCTCGCATTTTTATAATTATTTTTATTTTAGTAAAATAATATTAAGGGCTCTAAATTATTTATTCTTTGAATGTAAATGTCTACTAGAAAGTCTGGATTTGAAAACGTATGAAAAAAAGAAGAATAGATGAACCGATTCAATCCAAAAAAGGTGCACTTGATAGATTTGTTATTAATACGAAACAATAAATGCTAGAAAAACCAAATTAAGATTTAAATGAAAAATCAATTGAAAATTGTGAAGAAATTTTTGAAGATAACAATTCAAATTCATCAAATACTATTGAAGAATATCTTTAAAATTTAGAAGAAGAAATCCCAACCGACAAGAATGAAAATATTAATGATAAAGATGAAACAACTATTAAAAATATTTATGATCCGGCGTAGTGAAATAATTTAAACATAAGATTACGTGATTTATTAGTTGAGAAATGTTCATTTAGACAAGTTTTAGATTTCCCAAGAGATGAAAATTCTAGATGCTTTTCTACAATTCATTATTTGTGTTCAATCATGTCACAAGAAATATTAGGTAATTTGGTTATATTATCAATTGAAAAAGATTTGATTTCTAAACTTATTTAATTAGTGATTTTCCATCTCAGAAAGAAAGAAAAATAAATCTGAAATAATTTTTTTAATATATGCTTATATTATTAGAAGACCGCAAAGTAATTATTGCCTAACATCATAAATGTTTTTGAGATGGCCCTAAGCACAGTGCTGCCTCCTCAGAGGTTTGGCCCTCACCCCTTAAACCCATGGAATCTTCTCCGGTGTGTGTTTTATTTTGCTTGCACAGTGTATGGGTTTTAACAATAAAGGAGGTGTTATTTTATTTTATTTTGTTCGGTATTGGGTTTGTTTGTTCCTTTATTATGATTTTTCTGGCGGCTGGTGAACTGGTACTGTTGTTATGCACTGGGAGAACGAGGGCTACATTAGGTTTTAAAGTAATCAATTATCCCACAACATAGCAATAGCCTAACTCTTAGTTTAGATTTTCAGATTTGATGTTCTATTGCTTAATCTTCTGGGTTTGGGTTGGAAACTTGGAGGAATCTAGAATCACTACTGAATATATTATATAGATTGATTAAGGAATTTCTGATTGTTTTGTGCTGTTGTTAACAATTTCATATATTTGGAATTAATTTTGGCTTATAAAAGTGCGTTATTACTATTTTCATGGGAAATAGATGATTAAATTTGTGGTTATTGTGATTTGGTTGTTGTATAACAGATACTAGAGTAACTTCAGGCACGATAAAAACAAGTTCTTTATCTACAATTTCATCAATGAAGGAAGAAGAAGTGAACCGGTGCCAGATTCAAGAATGGTACCCGAAGTTTAAATCTGTGTCCATTAAAACCCTGATTCACGAACTTCCAGAGTCTTTTGTTGAGTATCTTCTGGATGACTCTGGGCCTTTCGTCCTGCCTGCTTCTGTTTCAAACGATGATGCCCTTCCCAATAGAATCCATAATCCTTATGAGGAAGAAGACTATCAGGTATCCGAAGGATCTGGGGATGAAGCTGAGCCGTCATCTCCCCCTTCTTTTCCGGAACTAGAAGTAAAGATTAGGGAATCCATTGAATCCCTTGGCAGTGCAGTTTTTCCTAAGTTGAATTGGAGTGCACCAAAAGACTCCTCTTGGATTAGCACATCTGGGACACTTCGATGCGCTTCATTTAGTGAGATTGCACTCTTGCTAAGATCATCAGATTCATTGGTACATGATCTGTGTCATGCATACGATTCGTGTAGTGATAGAACCTTATCAAGACCCCAGAAGTTCTTTCTTGCTCTTCGCAAGTGGTATCCGTCTTTACGACCAGAGATGGATTTTCGATGCTTCGTATGGGGTCAATGCCTAGTTGGAATTTCTCAGCGTGAAGTCACAACATTTTATCCTGCTCTTTGTGAGAAGAAAGATGATCTAAAAGCATTGATTCTAGATTTTTTTTTTAACAACTTGAGAGAGAAATTTGAATCGGAAAATTACACATTTGATGTTTATGTTACGGAGGATGAGCGGGTAAAGGTTTTGGATTTTAATCCTTGGGGTGCATTTACACTGCCACTACTTTTTACCTGGGAGGAATTGGAGCAGAATCTTAGAGAAGAAAGCGATTCTGTGGCCTTCAGAATTGTGGAGAGCCAGTGTGGTGTTCGACCAGGTATAAAGACAGCCGTGCCATATGACTACTTGGATACCAGTGAAGGGAGTGGTTGGGATCAATTTCTTAGGAATGCTGATGTGGAGCTGCATCGACAAACCCGAGCACCTGAAGCAGGTGCTTGAGGATCCGATTTTTTTTTTTTTTTGAAAGTTTTGATGTACTAAGTTATGCTTGTTTTGTTTCATATTTTTCCTATAAATGACATCAGTTACTGGTTTATATTATACAGTCACTGAAGTATTGCTCCAAACAAAAAAAGTGCAGGGTAAATCTTTACTTGTTATAAACCTTTTCTCTCTCCTTGGTCCTTCCTTTCTTTGTTATTCCTCTGACTTGGGGGAACATTAATCCTTTAGACAATGGAAAATATATATTGACTGGCAAAATGACACTAAAATAGGGTATTCTTGTTTGCATTTTGAGATTTATGAAAGAATTTGTACAAGTAATTTGCATTATAGATATCATTCTAATGAAGTCCATTTATGTTTATTTCAGATATTTAGTATGCTTGTTTATTAGATTTTCCTCTGTGTGAGAAAGAAACTATATTTTCACACGAGATTTGAAGTGACAGTAATTCACTAAAATCATATTTTATGTCATCTGTTACTTGGTGATTCAATGTCTTCTAATATTTTATATTGGAGATGATGAATGATTTCATCAAATCAAAATAATATATGATAGAATTCCCAAATAAATTGTTATAAAGATTTTATTTCATGTGGCTTGAGACTCCTTGGAATTATTTAAAAAAAAAAAAAAAAAAAAAGCAGTCCCCATGTTGCTGTGAACATGTTTTGAATTTTATGTTTCTTGGGATTGTTAATTACTTCAGAATTAATCACTTTTGAGAATGCTATAAAAGTAATTATTAATTTACAAATAGAGAAGTTTATGTTTGTAAATTCCCACTTAGCACGAGAGTCACTGGACCAATTGTTCAAAATCACCGACTATTTCAACCGTTTAAACAACTTAAAGCACTTCTAATATCACTGACTATATCAACCGTTACAAATTGGATATTAAGATATATATTACTAGGAAACCTTGAGGTAAACCTAGGTTAGGTTTAGGCAAACATATGTAGGCTTATGTATTATATGCTTTATCCGAAAAAACTGCATCGAAATTGTGTACGACGTACGTGTAATACGCTTCTGATTTTTTTAACAATTTTTTTTTTTAGTGAATGACCGTCATCAAATTTGGACGACCGTTCACTCACATGGACGCCCGTCCATATATATGGACGGGGGCCATATACCAGGGACGGACGTCCCCAATTAAAGGACGCTCGTCTATAAGTAAAATGGAATACTTTTTTTTTTAAAAAATTAGGGACGACCGTCCCTTCATTTTGGACGAGCGTCCTTATTCAAAATATGAAAATAAAAAAGAAAAAAATTTGGGGACGGTGTCATACATTTGTAGGACGACCTAAGTTGGACGGCGTCCATTAGGAATGGACGCCCGTCATATCTGAAAAAAAAAAAAAAAAAAAAAAACTCTAAACACCTTTCTTCTTCGCTCTTCTTCTCGTCTTCATTCCCCATCTCCTCTCTTTTCTTCGTCTTCATTCCCACACCTCACCTTCCTGAACATTAGTACCTCGGATACAATCCAGCAGCTTGATAACTATATTCTTCTGTATGAAGGAGTCCATTGTATGAAGCCAAAATCATACCATTTGGTGCTGTTGGCGAAGATGATTTTGCTCAATTAAGCTTGATAACTATATTCTTCAGTTCATCACTATCACTGTTAAAAATTATTAGTTCCCACGAGATATTTATTACTTGCATTTACCTATGGCTTTGTTTATGAATCATTGTGTTTTTTTCATATTTATCGCACCTTTTCACTTGCCTCCATGGAACTTTATTGCATAGTCGTTATTTTCAGGTAGTTTTTGATTATGATGACCAAAAGAAGATCCCTTTTTTCGGGTCAGGAATAGAAGAAAAGACAAATGAGACAGTGAAGTTGAGGTATATAATCAGTTAGAGCCCATTTCCTTTTTCCGGTTATCAAATATTTCTCAAAAATCATGTGATCATGTAGGAGTGATACGACAGGCGAGGTGGCAAACCGCCAGTCCACATACCATATTGTATACCAAAAGTTCCAGGCCCTCAAAGTTCTATTATTATTTTGGAAAACCAATTCAAACACAAGGTATATATGCTCCTTTCATTTCCTACCCTTACATAATTATGTTCATCAAACAATATAAATTTCACTGTTAATTTGTTTTGAGGGAGGGGAGTGAATTAAGAGACGGGAAGAAGGCTCAGGAATTGTATTTAGAAGTGAAATCAGAAGTTGAGAAATGCCTTGCTTATTTAAGGGAAAAAGAGAGAAAGATCCTTACAGGATATATTGGTCGTTTTATTCACCAGGCCACTCAGGCTTTACCCACGTTTGAGCTTTGATATGAAGGACCTCTTCATACCATGGGTACAGGAACTTTCCAAGCACGATTCAGCCTAGAGCAAAGGGGATTTTCTAATTTTATCTCAACCTCCATACATTGTATCTAAGCATGTTGTGCCTACTTATTACAATTTTAAGTTCAGTTCCAGTCGAGAGATGAAAGAGGTCAGTGCTACAAAAATCAATTTCATTAGGAAGCCGGTGAATAATGGAAAGCAAAGAGTTAGTGCCTGATGATAAGCTCAGCCCTAAGATGGAGTATTCCATTTATGAAGTAAAGATGTCTACAGCCATGAAGGAGGTCCATTGTATGGCAAATAAGTTCCTGTACCCACTGCCTTTCCTCGGTGAAGGTATAGTTCCTGTATTTGCTAACAAACTCCCAGTTGGCTTGACCGTGCCGCAAACTTTAATCCACAGCAAAAATCATTGGTCCCTTCTCCTGCATCCCCAGAAACAGCCAAAACAATGAAAAGAGCTTTGCTGGTCCATGTTGCACTGAGTAGACAGAAGAGCCCTTGTCCACCCAAGTGGAATGCCTAAGAATACATTATGGGCCATGTTGATACTGGTAAAACAAGCTCTGGCTTGTATCCGAGGTACTAATGTTCAGGAAGGTGAGGCTGGGGGAATGAAGACGAAGAAAAAGAGAGGAGATGGGGAATGAAGACGAAGAAGAAGAGCGAAGAAGAAAGGTGTTTAGAATGTTTTTTTTTTTTTTTTTTTAAAGTATGGACGGGCGTCTATTAGGAATGGACGAATGGACGCCTGTCCAAACTTAATGGACGGCCGTCCATTCCTAATGGACGCCCGTCCAAACTTAAGGGACGACCGTCCAAAATGTATGGACGGCCGTCCCCAAATTTTTTTCTTTTTTTATTTTCATATTTTGAATAAGGGACGCCCATCCAAAATGAAGGGACGGCCGTCCCTAATTTTTATAAAAAAATTTTATTCTATTTTACTTATGGACAGGTGTCCTTTAATTGGGGACCCCCGTCCATATAATATGGACGAGTGTCCATGTGAGTGAACGGCCGTCCAAATTTGATGGATGATCGTTCACTAAAAAAAAATTGTTAAAAAAATCAGAAGCGTGTTACACGTAGGCCAGTACACAATTTCGGTGCAGTTTTTTTGGTGTCCCTAGCTTTATTGATTATATTTTACTGATACCTTGAAGTAAAGGTAGTTGAGATTTAACCACCTTTGGATAACCAGGTAGGACGATAAAAACTTTTAGGTTTATTATTCAAGAGGTTTTGAGTTTAATATCCTTCGATTGTTAATGAAAGTGATCATTGGAGGGTTTATTCAATTGTTAACTTTAAAACCTTAGAAGATTAGTTAAGGTAATGAAGCTATATGTTAACTGTTAAGCAAGGATAGAAGTTTAATGGCAAATTTTTTCCCACTCTAGGGACCTTCGCTTGCTACTTATGCCTCAAAACAACACCACCAACTCTCACACTTTTGAGGTATTACTAAAATAACAAAAGGTAAAATATTCATGCATAAACGTGTAGCTCATATCTTTGACTAAATTAAAAACTCTGGAAATGACGAGTATGTGTTTGACTTTAATCATAGTGAAAAGCTTATTTTTTACAGCCTAAAAATCACTTATAAGAAGGCCCATAAAACATTATTGCCTCCCTGTCCTGCATCATTTTGTGCTCATCATTACTCTGATATGTAATGTAATACACGGCGTTTAGATAAGAAATATGTAATAAACGTCCACTGTCCGAGTTCCATACAACGCCAAAAGGCCCAAAACATTTCTTCCCAAACCATAACAAATGTCCTGATGATATTACAAAAAAAAGGATAAAAAAATTTCATCAACAAATATCAATATCAATGCAACCTCGTAAGTTCTTCAACTCTCTTACAAAGCTCCTCTACTGATACATTCATTGTCTTGGATATTTCATCCATCCGACTACGGCTCAGGTCAAGGAATGACTCAATTAAATCACCATCCAGGAAATTTTTGGCATCCACTGTTTTCTTCTCATTGTTAAATGATCTCCATTGCTCATGATTCAACCCTCCAACACCCTTTATCACCTTCCTTAAGTTTGATTGCAGCTTCTCTAGGAAAAGGTACGCCTCATGAGGAAGTGAAGCAATAACCCCAATAACGCCATTCACAGTGCCAAATATAACGGTGGGAATCTGACCCACATCAGAATCTGGCAACCGCATCACAAGGGATCCATGCCGAAATCGATTCACAAATTCTCCAAGGTGGAATTCACCAACCACTTCGAGGCGGCCCCGTTCCTCATCAGTGGCACCTTCACTATTCTTCCTAACTGTGAAGAGGTTAAAGTTGTTTTCAGCACCAAGGTATATGTCATCGTCAAGAATTTCAACAGCCGACATCCAATTTGCATTGTAGTCACGAGCCCGTTCCTCAATGGCACCTTCTTCATGCTGAAAATTATCAAATTTTTAGCTAATCAGTAAGAAAACAGACCTACTTTATGCAGCAAATATGAAAAATAATTTCTTGATCACAATAACAAATAAGAACAGTATCAAGTAGAAAATAATTAAAAGGTATGTAAAGTGGAATGCATTTGAGGATTAATAAAGTACCTTGTAGATTAACAAGGAAATGGACTTCATCAAATCACCAACAACAATGAAATCTCCACGAGTTTGCACATAGAGGGCGAGTATGTGACCATGATGTCCGCATTCAGATTGCAACTCCCGACTACCATCATCTCGGAGCATCCACTTGTATAACTGGATTTTTTGATTGATAGCAGCAAGCAATTTGCCATTGAAGGCATTCAATGAATAAACTGCTCCCTTAGTTTCCTTCTCCGCAATCAGCTGTAACTTACCATCTTCCACTATGAAAACCAATATCCTCCCCTACACAGAGAAAAGACACAATTGAAATAGGAACATTGCTACAATGTGTCAATCTCAAACT